CGCCCCGGGGGCAGCGCGAGCCCCGGGATGGCGGAGGAGCCGAGGCCGAGACCCCCGAACCCCACGAGCCGAGGCCATGGGAGGGACCCCCGAACCCCAGGAGCCGAGGGAAGGCCATGGGAGGGACCCCAGAATGTCAGGAGTCAAAGCCGCAGGAGACCCCCAAACTCCAGGAACCGAGAAAAGGCCGTGGGAGGGACCCCCAAACCCCAGGAGCCGAGACCATGGGAGGGACCCCCGAATGTCAGGAGTCGAGGCTGCAGGAGACCCCCAAACTCCAGGAACCAAGAGAAGGGCGTGGGAGGGACCCCCAAACCCCATGAGCTGAGGCCATGGAGCGACCCCCAAATCTCAGGAGCTGAGGTCAGGTCACAGCAGAGACCCCCAGATTCCTGAAACTGAGGGAAGGCCTTGGGAGAGCCCCCCTAATTGCAGGAGCCGAGGCCAGGACATGGGAGACATCCCCAATTCCTTGGAGACTCCTGCAGGCGGTGTCTGAGCAAACATTCCTGCTGGGGCCTTCCGCACACCCTGCGCTCCCGCAAGGAGCGTCAGTTTGGAAACTGTCTCCGTTACGGTTACTTGGTGCCCTGTGAGGGCTGCGATCACCACCCCAACGCACAGGGAGACCCAGGCACAGCGAGTGGTGGGAGACGGAGCCGTGGTCAAGGAGGGGGAGGTCGAGGAGGAAGAAGTACATGGGGGTGTGGAGATGGTGGTCGCAGACTACGGCTGCGATGGTGAGTCAGGTAGATGCCCAGGAAGAGCGAGAAGTGCGAGACTGGCATCTCCTGTGTGTCGGCAAACAGCTGACACAGCTGCTGTTGGACGCTTTGTGCCCTCCATGCATGGGAGGAAAAGACAGTGTCAAACCAGGAGAGACTTTGTTCAAAACTTTTTCCCTTTCTCACAGATACCTCCCAACACCTGAGCAGACATGTGTGCCCCCCTCCACAGCATTTCTTCTCAGCAGCACCTTCATTCATTCAGCTCCCTGCCTTGAGCTCCAGGTGTGAGAGGCAAAAGCTCTCGCTGTGACTTTGTACAGAGCCACCAGAGCAGCTTTCCACATCACATTCCCAGCTGCCTTGGGCATTCACCTCTCAGCTGGGGGACAATCTCACCCAGAAGTTACCCTTGAAGGACACAGGCCAGCACTGCCATCGGTGTCCACTTGCAACACGCAGATCTGCAGACGTGCCTCCCTTTCTCAGCTCACACGTCCCGACAGTGATGGAGAGGGTGTGACAGCACATGGCTCTGGTGATCGGAATAAAGGCACTGACGAGGTGCTGATCTTGAGGGAGATTCCAACACTCCCCTTCTAGGCAAAGACATATGGTGCTTAGCTCTGTTGCCCACTGCCAGCCGTGCCCAGCAGCATTTCATAGAATCATAGAATCACAGAATGCTCAAGGTTGGAAGGGACCTCTCGAGGTCATCTAGTCCAACCCCCTGCACACGCAGGGTCACCTAGAGCACGTGGCACAGGGCTGCGTCCAAGCACGTTTTGAAGATCTCCAGAGAAGCAGACTCCACAACCTCTCTGGGCAGCCTGTTCCAGTGCTCTGTCACCCTCACTGTTAAGAAATTTTTCCTTAAGTTCCTGTGGAACTTTTGGTGCTTCATTTTGTGGCCATTACCTCTAGTTCTGTCGGTGGCCACCACTGAAAAGAGACTGAAAATTCCATTTCCTTAGCCCTTCTGTGGCTCCTGCATGGCACATTCAGCCACCACAAATGTCCCACAGAAGAGCTGTGCCCCTCTGCAGGGCAGCGCACAGCCCGGGGAGGGTCAAAGGCCTCAAATAGGGGGTCTCCTGAAGGACAACCAGCTCCTTCCCCAGCCCCACAGGAACTCCTTGGAGAGCTGTGCTCTTATAGAGGGAAACAAGCACTGCTCGGAGTGCCAAAGGCACTCGAACAGCACCCAGGGGCCCTTCAGCTCATCATCTGCCCCCTCAGTCCTTCGTGTGCACGGGACTCAGTTGCCCTCTTGGCCTTCCTGCGGCCTCAAGGGGCCTCTGTGCATACGGGCCCAGGGGGGCCATACGGGCCTTCATGCGGCCTCGCGGCCTCCCTATTCACCTGGTCTGGAGGGCCCTATGGGCTTTCATGTGGCCACCTGGAGCCTCCGTCCACATGTGGCCAGGGGGGCCCTATGGTCCTTCATGTGGCCCCTCAGAGTCTCCATGTGACCAGGGCTGGGGAGACGCTAGGAGTATTCGTGCGGCCTCCCAGGGCCTCCATGCGCAGGGGGCCGGGGGGCCCTACGGGCTTCCATGCGGCCCCGCGGCCTCCATGTGCATGGGGCCAAGGGGCCTCTACAGGCCTCCGAGTGCATGGGGGGCCCTACGGGGCTTGGGCGGCCTCCTGGAGCCTCCGTGCGCATGGAAAAGTCTTGGAAAAAATCTTGGAAATCTTCACAATCTTGGAAAGTCTTCACAAATAACGCATGTGCAAGTGGAAACACAAATCTGCACCTACCATATTGCACACATATCACTGAAATAAAAAGCTATTTTATAACTTAGCATGGATAACAGTCAAAGGTTAAGGACGTATGCCTTTGCCTTTAGAGGTTACTCTGTTAGCTGCCTTCAAACACTACTGCTAGATTTTGCACTCAGCAAGACTATATTGAGTTGTACCATCACCCAAATTTCTCATTTTTACAGTTAATTATTTGTGAATCTAAATTTACAATTGCAATAGAATGATCGGAGTAAGTCTCCATTATCCTGAAAGCCAGTAGGAAATATCCAAAGGATGTTTGTGCCTCTAGTTATCACTTTGTGGGTCAGACAAATACAGCAGAAAATGAAAATCAATTGTACATACAAAGTACATATTATTGATGAGTAGGAGTGAAATGCTCTTTATCTTAAGAGAATTTTTCCATGACGGAATGATTTTTATGGTGTTTGACCTTGACCTAAGAAAACATGATCAATATAGCAATTAGATAAAGTTTGGGGGGATATATAATAACCAGCAAACAAAAAAGCATTCAAGACAACTTCTAGACCAGGGAGAAAAATGAATATTTTGTACATGCATCACTAAATATTTTGTTAATAAATACTGAAGGTTGATATGACAGTTTATATAAATATTCACAGAATGTCTGAGCTAACATAAAAGAGCAGCATCACTACTATAAAATTGTGATCAGCACTTCAATTAATTTTGTGAATTTTCCCTCTGGACTTGTCAAGATGTCATTTGACTAAAATATCATTTTAAATGAGATTATGCTTTTTTTAATATCATGTGTAGATTTTTAAATGTTCCTTTTAACATAAATCTTTTACAAAACAAGTTGTTCCTCAGAATCCATAGTTCATTCAAATAAACTTGGCTTCAGTGTTGGGCTGGGAGCGGGGAAAAGCCACTTTAATGGATCAACAATCTTTCTAACCAATAATAAAATTCTTATGGCAGAAATACGTGTTCAGAAACTTGCTTTGCGCATTTATTAGAAATGTTCTCTCTAGACAAACTGCCAGCTTGCAGAAACAATTGATTACTTGTGTGTTAGCTTTCATTTAGCTATGAAATCGGACATGACCTATTGATTGATCTTCAGCACCAAAATTAAAAGATACTGATTTGCTGTTTAGAGTTTTCGGTATAGGAAGTTTATCTATTCTATATAGGCTGTTTGTATCGGTAATACATTTCTGCAGTGCACTGATGAAAATAACCTAAAGAACCTTTCTAATGGTATATATACTTCTCAACTCATTGATCCTAGCAGTGAAAATTACACATGATTAACAGGCTTGTGTAACGAGTCTGTATTCTTGGCCCATATGGTGCTGATCCCAGCTCCAGGAATCTCTTTGCACACAAAACAAGCATATTTCCTTCTTTATCCTCCCTTTGCAAAAAGGAGGCTGGTTTCCATCCTTTCCCCATAACATTTTTGCAAGCATTTACCAGGTTATAAAACATTTTAAAGAGTGTTCTGCAGCCTGCCATCACTCTCAAAATGTACTGTCATGGTACGATCAGCTCAAGAAATTCTTACTTGAATTTTAAGCTATAATAAATATATTTTTGCATCAGCTCAACTTACAAACTACAGTCTATCCACAGCTGCCAGGCAGGTTCTTTTAAAGGTATTGTTTGCTGTGACAGGGTACCTTAAGTCTCTAAAACTTATGCTACGACTGTTCCACATTAATCTTTCCTTTTTTAAAAAACTTGGTGAAGGGCAATTTAGGGCATGGAAAGCAGGGGAGCCTGGAGAGATCACAAAAGCCACTGCTGATTTTTTACATCACAAGTGTAATGCAGAGCATTCTATTCCAGTAGAATAGATTTCCAGTGTAAAAGTTACATTGTATAGTGATCGTAAGGACGTAATTTCCTACCTTTTGCTCAGGCAAGCTGAGTATTCCTTGCTTTGAGATATGCAAACAGACTAAAACGTCATCTGCAAGTTGGTAGTTCCATAACTGCTGAGTACTAAATATGTATCTATAATTTTGTCATTCACTAATTGAGTCAGTTTGGCTTCTGTTCATATTCTGAATCCATTTGTGGTGACATACATTTTCATCAGAAATGTCTTCGCTGATTCAAAGTATAAAGTATCTTCTGTTGCTTGACAACGGTCTGAAGCTGAGGATTTTTCTTACAGTTTGGAAGAAAAGGGATTGAAAGAGGAAATAATCTAAAGGAAGTTAGAACTCTGTTTCATTTCTAGCTTTTTGAAGAAGATTCTTTCACTGCAATTAATAATTTGGCTATAATTAAATTTGCTAGGAGCCATAGCAAACTGAACGACAGATTGATTTTCTCCTCCCTCCATCCCTCGCAAATATAAGCTCAATGTGCAAAGCTTGCATTCCTTTAATTGCTCCCATAGTGAAAGTATGTGGTGAAACTCTTCTAAAATATGAAATTTGCTCACACAGATGGAAGATGGCAGGAGTTATAAATTTTCATTGGATGCCTTGGACTTTCAGTTTTGCAGATTTTTGTAAAGAAAGGTATGTTTTATTTTTAAAATGAAATTTATTTTTATTTATGTTATAAATGTTTAACTTGTCTATAAGCCATTTTGAAAGTGCATTTTCATATTTAATAGACTCTTTTAGATTTCTCTATAATCATTATTGCAACCATATGATTTCAAATTCAATGTAATAATTGTATTTTACATTTGAACAGAAAGATGTCTTGAAATACCTTTCTATTCATAATATAACTGAATTATATTAATTTGCACTGTATATAAAATGTAAAGGTAAATCCCTTAACATAACTGTCTTCCCTGCACATGTAGAAGTAAAATAGTTTTATAAAGGTTTACAACAGCATGGATACTGAAACAGAATTTAAAATCTTGTGTACAACATAGTCTCCAGACATAGTCTCTGACAGAGATCAAAACAGAAACATGCAGGAGTCGTGACTACACACAAAAATATTACCAACTTATTTGTATTCAGAAGATAATTAGAAATGCAAATACTAGTACAGATTTTTTGCATAGATCATTTATTTGTAATAAAATCATGGCGAAAGAGAGCAAGAACTGACACCTATGCACTGTTTTTGGTATTTCAGA